AATTCAGCCGATCCGTCTTTTAAAGGAAAAAACTTTCAAAGCGCCATTTTACTTTCACTCTCACTTTTCCGCCCGAAAAAAAGAGAAAGCTCAAAAAAAATAAAAAAAAATCAGCACATACTAAATAAACTAAATAAACAAGTTTAGTGAATATTATTAGAGTTTATTGCTTAAATATATTTGGCTCCACTAACAAAATAACTCATTGAAATAAACAGGGGCAACATCTTTTTTTTTCTTTTTAGTGTTACATTATATTCTTATAAAAGGTGCAGATAAAAAGGATGCTACAGGGTTTGTACATTTAATTCAGGTACAGAATTAAGTTGACCAACAAATGAGGAGACACCACAGCATTAGAAGAGTGTGACTTGATATCCATACAAAGAATAAGAAGCCCTTTACTGGTTGTGGATGGGAGCACTCCAGAGACAGATGTTTAAAATAGCTTAAGGCAGATTAGTTAACATATAAAAGGCTGGGATTTTTTCATTTATTTCTGTGCTTATAGAAGAGAAAAGAATGGTACCTTCTAACCATTTTGGAGCATGAACTATCAGATAAGCCAAAATCACTCACTAGAAAAATCCATCTCAAGTCTTCAATCTAGTCTTACATTCTTGCCAGGACATGGCTGAGAGGATGGAGACAAAAATTGCACATTTTGTAGATGTTTCCACAAAAGATAGAAAAATGATAGGGGAAAGGGTTGCGACTTGCTTATTCCTCCCCAATTTGGCTTTGAGGTTAAATATCACCCAGGCACTGGCTAGTTTTATGTGTCATTTATGCAGGACTGACATTACCTCACACTTTGGATTTGATTGGCAATCCATTTGATCACTCTGAATCTTATACACTACAGAAATAGAACATAAGCCATTCTAAGCGAAGAAATTTCCCTTTCTGGAGATGCAGACTCCATCTGTGGTACTGGGATAAAAGGGAATATGCCCAGCCCTTGTCTGCTAAGTCCATGGAGTACCAAGACATCACTCAATTTGCTCATAATGCCCTGGTGCAGTCTCAATAGTCATGGCTGCAACATGGTGCACAGACAAATACACACATACACACACACACAGAAAAGCAAACTAAAACATGGCAAAATAAATAGAAGTGTAGCATTTACAGGGTTCCCTTAAAAATGTTCCTAAAACTGTATGTTTTTAATTAAAACTTAAAAAAATATTAAACAAAACTGCATACATCATGTACATAACAGAACTGTACAAATGTTCTCCTCTGAGTTTCAACCTGAAAAAGCAAAAGCAAAGCTACCAAAAAAAGCAGTACTCTAGCATCCCCCGTGATGAAGCTATTCCACCCTTTTTCTCCCTGCCTCAAATACATCACTAATGACCATAATATTTCCAAAGAACATGGAAATTTCTTACTAATGAGAAGTACCTCTGTAAGTCACATTGCCACAGCATTTTGGATTGAGGGAGACTTAAACTGCTTTATTATTTCTTAAAGAACTTGGAATGCTTTGCTTGAACTGGTATGTTGCATATAAAGACAATGCTGCATTGGATTGAAATAGGTGAACAAGGTTGAATCTAAGAGACTACGTTTACTAGCCAGAACTGGTAACTTACTTCTATCACTGCTATTCAGCAATGCATCAAAAAGACCCACCTTTGCTAGAAGTGCATCTTCCAGTAATTATTTCCCTATATTGCATCTTACATGGTTTGCATTTTGAAAAAAAAACCCTAACTCGCTTTCTTATTTAAGTATTTAACTCTTGGACTGCAGTAGCTATAGCCCTATAGCTGGATGACATGAGTAGTCAGGAGAATGGGGAGGAGAAAGGACTAATCTATCACCCCAAAAAGAGCATTAGGCTTTGGGAATATAAATGCAACATTGTGTGAAAATTGTCTAATTTATATGAAACAGTTCCAAAGGTGCTTTTCAAAAGGAATTGCAAGGAATAGAAATCCTTCCATTCCCTGCCCTTCAGGCAGAACTAAAGAAGCTTCTTGGATAAGAAGCAAAATGTCTTCAAGGAAAAAAAAAAAGTCCAGTTGCCTTTTGAAAAGCATCTTTGGGATAACCATTAACTGGAAAACTGAGACTCTCCATAGATATTTATATGAAACAGGATCTCCACAAAAGGCTTAATCTTGTTTTAGGGTTGCCCCAATTAAGTCAGGCAACATAATGGTTAAAAAGTGACTCTTTGTTCTTTTCTCCTGTTCTGTGGCAACCCATAGCTTGGGTTATTGCTATCATATCTTACAGTCAGATAAACTGCCATGAGATGTTATTGCTTGAGAACTTTAGCAAGATGTGGAAAAGCACAAAAAAAAAAAAACACTTTTGCTGAGGATACCACAAGAGCTGTCACACTTAAACTTTCTCTGGATGTTTTGATGTAAGAATTGTTCCCTCTCAGCCCTATGTGAATATTTTTTCAGAGTGAATATTCTCAGGTTCCATTCTTGAGAGAGAATAAACTGAGCATAACATGTTACAGCTGTTAACTACATTAATACAGAGGTCAAAGTTCAGGCCTCTCTCTGACATCTGAGGGAGGGGTAGAAAACTGGCTGGAGAAATGGATTTTCTACTTCAAGTTGCATGCACAAATTCAAGGCATGCATCTGTGCATTTCGAGTGGACTCCTACAGACCCCAGCTGCTGACCTTGCAGCACAAAAAATGCAGTACTACTGGGGGTAACTTTTGATAAATTGCCAAATATCAAGAAAGATGAGAAAGCACAGAGTATGGCTGAAGAACCTCCAACAACCTACAGTAAAACAAAAATGGACTTAAGTGGCTTCTGGTCTTCTATTGCTATTTTTATTTTATTTATTTAATTCCAATACATCATGCTGTTCCTGGCCTCAAGCACCTACGAGATGGCATCTTTCTGTGATTTTCAAATGTCAGCAATAGCTTTATTTAGCTAAAAAAAAAAAAAAATCCATGAGCATTCGGCCAACAGTCCAGCCAATTATTTTCACAACAGAGAGATGCTGTACTTTGGGCGGTGGGGGTAAATAAATTCCAATGCCACCTTTGAGAAAACCTGGTTTGAACTGGGATTTTTTTAAAAAAAAAAAAAAAACTACTTTGGATCATGGAATTCAGCTGCAATTATTATTATTTTAATCTATGACAATCAGAAACAGAGGTCATGGGAAGTTGCTACTAAGTTCCACCAACTGTTCATGGGAGTTGACATTTCCCAAGTGAAGGAATGATTTAAAATATAGCAAGCCCTGGTTACAAACGAAATGAATCTTATTGTAAGTGTAATTCTATACCATATTATTTTTAGACACGCACCACCACAAAACCTATTACTAAACTGAACTGCTAGATATTGCTCTGAAAAAAAAAAACTGCAAGGAATAGAATTGAAATTACTGAGAACCTACAAATCTCTGATTCAGGTTGCTGTAGATTTTACAGGATAGGTGAAAAGATACTCCAGTACTTTATCTTGTGGAACCAATGACAGAAATACTGGTAATAATATATATTTTTTAAAGGCATTACATAGCAGAGCTAGGGGCAAAAATAAAATGTCTGATTCTCTCCAAGTATCACATGAACTTCCTTGACTGCCTTATCTCCTAGGGGAAAAAAAGTTTATTTGAACATGGAATCTCCTGCTTCCTGCTCTAAGTACCTCATTGATAACCGGCACCTTTCCCAGGTTCTTGCAGGGTTCACTGGTGCTGATAGGAGGAGAATTCTAATGTTACTCTGCTTTTTTAAGTATCTTCCAGACATCAGAGTTACCTGCCCACCATCTAAATCTGTGGTTCTCAACCTGTGGGTCGGGGCCCCATTTGGGGTCTAACGACCATTTCACGGGGGTCGCCAAACAATGCAGTCCGCCATTTTTTCCCCCCTTTCCTTAGCTGTGCTACTCCCTTTTATTCTATTGGCTTTTGAAAGCCAATAGAATAGACTCTCTGGAATAGAGTCTAATTCTATTGGCTTTCAAAAGCCAATAGGAATTGTCCAGGCTGTCTCTGCCCTGCTGAGCCCGCCAAAAGTCCCATTCTGCAAACGGTGCTGCACCAGTTGAGTAGTCCTCGACTTACGACCAGTTGAGTAGTCCTCGACTTACGACTGGTTGGGGGTCACGGCATTAAAAAGGTTGAGAACCACTGATCTAAATGAAGAGATCCTGTGTCAGGAATGGCCACCTGACAACACCATGCTCATCAAATCTATAGTTAGGTCTACCTTCTCTTTATGCTGGTTCTTCACTGCAGTAACAATGTTACTTATTTACTTACCTTACTACAATAATAATTAGATGGCTCAGATTCTTTATGGTAAAGAAAGGAGTATAGTCACAGATGAAGAACTTGAACTGGAGTGCATCTTATTTGTGGTACATAATCTCTATAAGGAATTTGGGAATACTGAGTGATAAAACTCAATAATTATTACTTTGAAGAAGGTGTAAACTTGAGATTTGGTGGTTACAGCAAGGAAAACGGGCTTGCCTTGCACTTGCGTTTTAGTCTATCTTGGACAATACAAGATACATAATGTAATACTACATCTCTACTAAAGAAGCTCGACGCAACATTCACATTTTTCTTTAAAATACCTTGTTGTTCATCCTGAAGAATCCCAAAAGTATAACCCTGTTTATCTTCAAGAATATTTAGGGTGGAATCATTAAGTTCCGAAAGAGGGAGAGGAAGAGAGAGATTTCCCATGAGATGAAGGATCATCTTCTAACTTAGTGTTTCTTAGTGTTTCTTTTTTCTGTAAGGACCCTTTCGCACTTTTTAAAATTATGGAGGACCCCCAAATGAGCTTTCATTTGTATGGATTATATTTATCAGCATTTACTATACTAAAAATTTGCATTCATTGCCACTTCTCACAATTTGATGGGATTTTAATATTTTTCAAGATAGGTTGGCAAAGAATTTTGGTTTTGTGGACTTCTGAGAGGATGGCCAGAACATTTTTAGGAAACACTGCTCTAAATGATATTTTAAAAAATATCAGAGATTTTTTTTTTTTTTTGTAAAGGCAAATTATCTTGCCTATGCATGTAATGAAAAACAAAGCGGTATTTTGGAATGCCATGAAAATTCAGAACCAGAGCACTGAAAACTAGGGCATACGAAAATAAGACTTATTTTTGAATATTTGAGCACTTCTACTTAGGGTTCCCAACGTTCAGGCCAATGCTGGTAGGGGAACCATGCTATATGGCTTATTAATCTGTGCTTGAGGGAGAAAGAAATTTTCTACTTCACAGAAACAAACTTGAATCTACACAATTTTTTCATACCAACAAAAGCAAGTAATCAATGTGACAATTGGAATGTCTTTTATAATCCCTGGAATTCTATGAACTTTGCCCTTGCAGAAAAGCTCTTTCAGACATCATCTTAAACTTTGCCTTCATGTTGCTCACACTCAAGCTTGTACCATCTTTTTTTCCTGAGATCCAGTTGAGAATTGATGACTAACTACTCAATTCATAAGATTAGAAAAAAAATCCTATACTGCATAGTTCTATTAATGTACAACCATGTAAGAACAATGAAATAGGGAAGTATTATTTGGCTTCCTCTACAGATGCATGTTTCTGTTTTGGCTATCCTGTTAGACAATTTTTATGACATGATAAATTGCTTGTTTATTGCCACTGCAAGTGTTGTTTTCATACATACTGGGTAATCCCTTTTGGTTCTGCCATATATTTGAATTCTTTCTTTGTCACCTCCTTCATGATGGAAAAATCCTTGAATGTTCCAGTCATCCTACAATTACATAATATTGTGAAAATATTGTTGAAAGAATTGCAGTTTCTGAGAAGGCTAGTCTGTTAGAATGAAAAATATCCATCCCGGTTGAGTCATGGCTTCCAATAAATGACCAGATTCTCTTTTTCAACTATCAGACAAACCATTTGTGTATTTTTTTTAAAATTTCTATATGTTATTAGTTCAAATAATGTGTGTTACTGTGCTATGAAAATAATGCAGTTTTACAAATGGAAATACTGCTATACCCCAAACCCTTTCCTACCACATTGCTTAGCAATGATAACTGATCAGGTTCAGGTTAATGATGATCACTCTTAGAGTCTGGGTCCTCCTATTTTCTCACAACTTGGTATAAAGACTTAGCACACTTCCAAATACTCAAGTGATTAGTGGGGGGGGGGGAAAGTGAGTTTCCCAAACATTTTGTGCATCTCAAAAACAGAGCTACTTCCTCTGACGCAACTTCACTTGCTTGGCACGCACCAGTAAATACCAGTCCTTGAGACCAGTGTCATGTTTCTCAAAGTCAATGGCCTTGTGGAAATCCAGTGGAAGAAGAGAATCATAACACTATAATACCACTAATTCACTCTTGAAAGTAGGCCAAACCAAGAATGGCAAGAAAATTCAGAACCAACCTGAGACTGTCTTGCATTTTCTCAACATTGGAGGTTTTTTTTTTAACGTGTAGACTTTGGCACATGAACCTCCCCTACCCACCCCAAGTAACTGGTCCAAAAAGTCTCCAAGGTTTCTGTTCCATCAAAAGGGTCCAAAAGCAAAGTTGTGGTGGAACCAAGAAGCAATTTGATCAATCAGAAGGAAGGTTTGATGACAAATCCTTTGGGCACTAGAGAGGCACTTTTACCACCAGTCCAGATTATGTAAATATGGACAAGAGCAAGACGGGAGAATAGGTTCGTCCTGGAAAAAAAAGCCATTGGCACTAGATGTGCTTCCTGCAGAAAGGATTTATACAGTCTCGCTATCTTGTCTTGACTCTTGGTTGCAGCAGTCATTCATTTACGGTTTTGCACTTTGTGTAATATGCACCTCATCCATATTTAATAATTGAGCTTTGTTATTGCTCGTTCCCGGCTTGTCTCCAGCGCTTGGTTTCCTGAACGCTTACGGTTGCGCTTGAGCTTGGATAAGTCTTTGTCAAAAACTTCACCTGATCTCAGTGCTGACACCAGATCATCAAACTCTCCTCCTCCTTCCTCTGAGATACTACCAGCCTTTGCTTTCTTCTGACGCCGCTCTTTCTCTCTCTGTTCTTTAAGCTGTTAAGAAATACACACAGATTTAACCGGTTTTAATATGGTGGCTGGCTGGAAAATGTGCTAATAAAGATAATGAAAGGCAAGACAAGAAGCAACGGATGGAAACTAATCAAGGAGAGAAGCAACCTAGAACTAAGGAGAAACTTCCCGACAGTTAGAACAATTAACCAGTGGAACAACCTGCCTCCAGAAGCGGTGAATGCTCCAACACTGGAAGTTTTTAAGAAGAGACTGGACAGCCATTTGTCTGAAATGGTATAGGGTTCCCTGCCTGAGCAGGGGGTTGGACTAGATGACCTTGAAGGTCACTTCCAACTTTATTATTATTAATATTAACAAAACTAATTAGAAATAATTTAAAGAGACATCCATAAGTTGTTTGTTGCAAATTCTAGACTCAGCTATTCATTGGGATAATTCTAAACTTCAACATTACAGGTGGTCCTTGACTTATGACTGCAATTGAGCCCAAAATTTATCATGCTAAATGAGACAGTTAAGTGAGTTTTGCTGCATTTTATGACCTTTCTTGCCACAGTTGTTAAGTGAATCATTGCCGTTGTTAAATCAGTAACACAGTGGTTCAGTGAATTTGCTTGTCAGATGATCCCAGGACACTGCAATCATCATAAATATGAGCCAATTGTCAAGCATCCAAATTTTGATCTCATGAGTACAGGGATGCTCAACACTGGAAGTTTTTAAGAAGAAATTGGACAACCATTTGTCAGAAAAAGTATAGAGTTTCCTGCCTGAGCAGGGGGTTGGATTATTATTATTATTATTATTATTATTATTATTATTATTATTATTAGGCATAAGTGGGAAAAATAGTCATAAGTCACCATTTTCAGTGCTGTTGTGATTTCAAACAGTCACTAAACGAATCGTTGTAAATTAAGGACTACCTGTATAAGAAGCTAAATATAACTTTTTGGTATCAGTCTAAAAAGCTGCCTAGTCCAGCATCCAGTAGTTAGCCATATACATCTAAAAACCATAGCTATCTTATGTTGTTTCCTTGGTTTGCATTTTATGGAGTTAGCTTTCTTTCCTTTCCTTTGCTGTTTTTAACATTCCGCTATTTATTTATGTGAACCATTTTTAACCTGTTCTTCCACTGAAAACACTCCTAGAGTGACTTACAAAGATCAGGAATAGGACAGTCCTAAGCTGAACTTTTAGCGGCTTTTTCTCTGTTGTTAGCCACCTGTGGGTTTTGCAAATAAGCGTAAGTAACACTGGATTCTTAACATTACATTTAGAACATGGGGCATCTGTAAATGATGGGCCTGGACTGAAAGTATGCAAAACATGGAACTGGAAAAAGACCTTGGATCAAAGTGACTTAGCCTGCAAACCACATCTGTATCAACAATTGCTTCATTAAAGCCAGCAAGACAACCCTAGATTGAACATAAACAACTTGTGAAACTACTTCTAAGATCCCATGAGGAAGTGATTAGGCTGCCAAACTAAACCCAGGAGTATCTAGATTTTTATCTCCTTTCATACTGAACTAGACCATTTTTCCCCCTAACTAACTTATTCATGGGTAGGATGCTGGGAAGATAAAGGAATGGTGGGGATGAAGAGAGAAATTGGTGATTCCCCGAAGAAAGACTAAGATAAAAATCTAATTAGATCATAACAATGGCTTTCAGTGAAGGAAAAGAGAGAGAGAGAGAGATGCAGGCCAGTTGCCTCCATTCTAGGCTATTTTCCGTAGGATTCAAGATTTAGGAGGAATGGGAAGAAAAAGAATTGTTCCTCCTACTAATGTAAGTTCCCACTGATTCAAATGTCATCAATAATATTATTGATGTATTGGTATTATAATAATTAAGTAAGCCTGCTCTCCCCCTTGCCCCTCTTCGTCTCTTAGCAGGGGAAGGTCAGGATTCCTCACTGGGTTGCTGTTCCAATGTCCCATCACCATTTTGTATAGACCATTTAATCCAGGGGTGGGCAATTACAGATATTCAACTTACAACAGTTAATTCAGTGACCTTATCTCAAACTGGCTGCAGACGTTGTGGGTGCTCCAACAATGGAGGTTTTTAAGAGATTGGACAACCATTTGTCTGGAATGGTATAGGGCAGTGGTGGCGAACCTATGGCACAGGTACCAGAGGTGGCACTCAGAGCCCTCTCTGTGAGCACATGCACCATTGCCCCAGTCCTAGGCCTGCAGCTGGGTTTTATAAAACCTCTTCACTTTAGGCCTCCACCACAGTATGCAAAAAAAAAAAAAGGTTCAATCAATCAGTCAGTTTCAACTTCTCGCGGGGAAAAAAAAGATCTTGCAAAGTTGGAATTCATTGTTTGAACTTTTTAGTCCCATCCAGTCTGCCATTACCACGGCAGCCACGCCCAGCCAATGGGCCACACCCAGCCAATGGGCTGGCACCCGATGATGCATAAGTGGGTTTTGGGTTGCAGTTTGGGCACTCGGTCTCTAAAAGGTTTGCCATCACTGGTATAGGGTGTCCTGCTTGAGCAGGGAATTGAAATAGAGGACCACCAAGGTCCCTTCTAACTTGGTTATTCTGTTATTATGGAAGATCATAATCATCACACCCTAGTGACCCACAGTTTCTCCTCTGCCCCATATCTATAACTTCCCCATCATTTATTCCAGCACAGAACTGGGAACAAACTCCTCTCCTTTCTGAGTAGAAGGCTGTGCTATCTGTTCCCGTACTGGCTGGCAAGGAATTCTTTAGCTCTTTCAGCCTTGCAAAACAATTACATTATTCTCCATTTAAGAAGTTGAAGTTCTGACGTTTTAAACTAGGCACAACTGTAAGTAAAATTGACTAGGAATGTCCCCCTCTCTCTACACTCCAGAAATCTAACTGAAAGTTGAGGCAAATGGGAACATTCGGGGGAATAGGATACATGCTTCATTCTTAGTATAGCTGGAGTGAGCAGTGCAATTCAGGTTGTGGTGCTGATACCTTGAAAGGAGCAAAGGAATCCTTTCTAAGATCAAGACATCATAATATTAGAAAGGTAATTGGTTCACATGAACCTCGAGGAATCCAGGAACTAAAGTTCCAATAGCATAATTAGCTTGGGGAATATATTGATCCCACTATAGTGAAAGGAATCAGCTCTGTAAAGCCAGAAAGGCAGCATACTACAAATTATAACATTAGAGAAAGCAATTAAGAAAAGACATTGAATAAACACAAGACAGGTGTTATTGCCCAAGAAATTACAGTTAGATTTGTAATTGGATGTTCTGTATCTTTACATTTTGACCATAGAAATCCAGAGGGATAGAAGGAGGAACTGATAAAGGAGAGTTAACATTTATGCATCATATCCTCCAATAAAGGCTTCTATCTCCTTATGGCTTCTACTGGCTAAAATTCAGACACAAATGTTCTAAACATGTATTTTAATTTTCTCGTGTAGTTTGGCTCAATCCAACACCAACTCCTAGTAACTTCAAGAATGCAAACAAGAGGTTTAGGAGAACATAAATATTGTGTCAAAGGAAGAAGATGGAAAATAGAATAGCTATGCTTAAAAGAAAGCAAAGTTTTGTGTTTTAAGGCTCAATACACAGGTTAAGGGCAGGAAAAGATCCAGGCAGTTTTACTATTTAAATAAATTGTAATCTGATGTCAAGACTTTTGCATGAGTTTAGGAACAATTTATTTCAAATTAATGAAACCTTCACCGTAAAGTTTAAAACAGGGGATCAGTCAGAAAAATGGTTGCTTGGATCAACTGCCCTTTGACCACAAACCTTGTATGACAAAAGTGAAGAAGCTTTGCATTTTCTCTGTTTGGTTTCATTTGGTCATTTTCATCCCATTTTACTAACTTGCCAAACCTTTTCTTAATATTCTTCCTGGTTCTAGGACATTAGCTATTACATTGATTTTTTTTTTGTCATTTGCCAATCTGATAAGAGCTTTAGTATAAAATATTTATAGCTAAAAAATTTTAGGTTGGACATGGATCATGAACAAAAAAATGACTACTATAACAATCAGTAATCAGAAATGCAACTCTAGAATAACAATGTATTAGGCATTCTGATGTCAGAAATAATGCATAGTACATAAAAGTTTAAAAATGTATAAAGACATAGCTCAAGAAGAAATCAACAGGATATTATGGCTCACAAAACTAGAATGTGGTATATTTTGGCAAGGAACAATATTAATAATAATATAACAAAATAATAAAATAATATTTATGGAAGCATTTTCCATATTCCATAATCCAAAATAATGCAACTTTCCTGAGATTTAACTTTTTCTCTGCTAATTTCTAAGTTCTTAAGAAAGAAACTTTGTATTTTCCCTACTGTCTGGAGCAAGGCTTTTCAACCAGTGGTATGGGTACCACCTGTGGTACATTGGCACCTGCCAGGTGGTATGCGACCATCCTAGAAAAGTGGTAGTGGGGGAGGAGAATGAGCTGAACTGGTGGCAGCATCACACAAGCCTGAGTGAGAGATGGCTGGAGCTGCAGGGCTCTCAGGGCTCAGCAGAAGCGCCAGGATCAGCGCCAGGCTCCAGCTGGAGCTCGGCGCTGATCCTGGCACTTCTGCTGAGCCCAGAAGAAGCACCGATCAGCTGGAATGTTGCAGCATCTCCAGGGTCTTGTGATTTACATTCAGATGCTTGGCAACTGATTCATATTTATGATGGTCACAGTGTCCCAGGGTCATGTGAAGTAACCAAAACCTGCTGCAACCACCCAGCAGATGGGGGGAATAAAAACCTCGGACAGGAGGAAGAGCGCCGCCGGGTGGGCAGGCAGGTGTCTTGCTCGGCTGAGGCTTGGAGGGCACTTTTTTCAGTGCCATTGTAACTTCGAACAGTCACTAAGCGAACTGTTGTAAGTCGAGGACTATCTGTACTTCATCAGTTTTTTTCCCTTTTTTTGTCATCAAGTTTTTGACACCTTGCTAGGCGACTGGTGGTACTCGGATACTGCCATATCCTAAAAGTGATACAATGGGTGAAAAAGTTGAAAAGCCCTGGTCTGGAGGATAACCTTAGATGGGAAAACATTCCCCTAAATGAAATGAAAAAGATGAAAGGAAAGGATAAATGAAAAAGATGCATTGACCCAGGACAAAAGTGAGGCTGGAGAAATATGCAAGGCTGAAAGAAGAACCTAGAATGCACAAAGAGGAACCCAAGAGAAGCAATGATGCAAGCCAGCTGGTGAACTGGTGTGTAGAAAATATGTCCTTTAATCACACTGCATTTAATTTCCCAAGACATTCAGGAAAATATTTTTCAGGCAATTTTTTTTTTTTAAAAAAATTCTAACTTTTGAGTCCTCACCATGACTTCCATGCGTGCCCTGCGCTCCTCTTCTTCTTTCTTCTTCCTCATATTCTCCAGATCTTGCTTAGCTTCTGTAAATGATTGCAGGAAGGTGTCAAAGATGCCAAAAAATTCATCTGGCTGCATCCTTCCCTCACTCTCTCCAAAATGCTTCAGTGCTTTGGCATACTGTTAAAGAAAGGAAAAAAGAAAAAAACAAAACAAAACTTCCTGGCATTTAGAAGGAAAAGAATACAGCAAATGTTTATTAAGAAAAAAAAAATACTACAATCTGTTAACGGAAGTGTTCAATTTCATAGAGACTATACATTTTGTATTTTGTTTCTATCTTAGAGACACGTTCAAAATTTAAAAACCAGAAATGCTTCATAATCAAGAAGGATAAATGAGAAATTTGTTCCATCCAAATTGTTATAGGCATGTGGATTTATTATATCCTCAGTATTGGAACTGACCAAAAAGCCTGGAATGTACCTGTTCAGCAAACCTTGCTAAATTTTATGATGTACTAGCAACTTAAACATAATCCCTAGATGTCTGCACATTGGGTAAAACCCTATACAAAATCCTGAATTTATAATGTGCATTTCCCTTATGCAGAAAAAACTGTATAGGAAAATACAAATATTAAGAAACGCTTCCAGAAAAAAAAAGTTTATACTTCACAAAGTTGAATGCTAAGTATAAACAAATGGACAAATTTGCATTCACACAGATTGACGTGGAGAAGCTCCAGGACTTACATAGCAGAATATATATTTATGCACTCGGCAAAAAATGGAGAGACTTGACAATCATAAGGATTTAGCAGTTTTGTTAATTTCTGCCAAAATCACACAAAATGATGAAACAGAATGCAATAGAATCCTGACTTATTACACAGACTTTCCAATGATTCCTGTTTGTTCTTCTAGTGAGTGAGCAGCTGGACAAATTGTCTAGCAAGGAAAGCCTCAAAACTAATTCCTAGTTTATTGTTCCATATAAACAAGAGATTGATGGAAAACTGGTTTGATGGAAAACTGACAACCCAGAACTGTCCTTTCAGACATAATACTAAGCTGATAAGCTTTTAGATGTCTTGGTTGATCTTACTGGGAAGAAGTGACAGGGCAGACAGGGGAACAATAATGCAGACTGGTGAACATGACTCTTTCTTCTTTCTGGCATGCATAGAACCTACAAAAATACAACTATATCAACAACATCAGTGGAACTTGGTGAGGAATTCAGCAGCTTGGCTAGCACCCCACTCTGGAACTGCTTTTAAAATGAAGCATTTTCAACCAAATGAGGAAAGTGTAGAAGTGGTGACCAACATGGTGAGGGAATGTCTGAATTTTCTTTAAGCTCTTTCCTTTCCAGATACAAACCTTCAAAGCCATTATGGGATCTTAGAATTCATCTATAGCCCATACCTAAATCTCAGATCCAAAATCTAACTTCCCTCCCTCACACCAACAATCATCAACAGCCATATTGTTTTGTCTCTTTGATAGGAAGACCAAACCTATGACAGAATAAAGGCTGTCAGAGTTTGGATGGGGAATATCAGGCTTCAGTTTTCAGAAATTCTACTATTAAAGAAAAAATAGGTCTCGTTATTATAAATCAGTGGTTATTCAAACAAAACTTAAAAGTGAAACCTCAATTAAGGCACAGTTTACATGACTACTTGCCCAGTGAGTAATTTAGCAGCACTGTTTTTTGAAGAAATGCTATTAAATGGGTGATTACTCATGGATAATATATACCTTTAAATCTTTAACAGTTTGAATGCTGACCTCTGCCTGGCACTGAGTCTACACAAATTATGTGTTTAGTGATCTTCCAATGTAAGTTAAGAAAGAAAGCCCATCTTACATTAGACGTTTTATGATGAAATCACCCACTGGCAGGTTCTGTCAACACTGGGATTTTAGGGAATCCTTTTCTTTCTACTACAATGCAGTTCTGTAGTTTGAAAGGCCTACTACATTCTTTTTTGTTAATTCACTTCTGTTAACCCTACAAATCCCAAAATAATTTCCCTGTTACTGTTCACTTCTGGATACAGCAATACAGTTTTTCTGTATCCATGGCTCTCGGTTGATCTCCATACTGTTCCCTACCTTCTTGCCTGATTTTTCTCTACAATGATTTCATTTCCCCAGTACCCAATAAAAATCTTTTAGGAATGATTAAGATGGCATCAAGCCCTGATCGTCACTGTAAAGCTTGGTAATGTGAATGACATACCCTTTTACTTTGTAACCCAAGAGATACAAATGTATTTTTGTTAAAATAAATAATTTTTTCTCCAAGTTATCACTCCTTCATCTTATGACATAATAGGCCTGCAGACTTCAGTGCCAGCAATCCTACCTACTACCAAACTTTCCAGTCAATTCCTCTTTGTGCCAAAGCAAATAGTTTAGGCAGTTGTTCATTTTGTAAAGTTGTTTCAACAGAGGTAGAAAGAGGAACAGCAGCACTCACTCACTGCTACTCCTGCCAATGAAATTAAGTAGCTTCAGAAAGGAAGTTTTGAGAAAAAAAATGGGGGAAGAGGTCTTCTCAGAGCAGAAGAAAAACACAATTATGGAAAGTGTGCCAGATGGCAGAACTGTTATTTGAAGTGGTAAAGAAAAAGAATGACAAAATTTTAAAAATCTTTCAGTTGAAAAATATATATTTTGCAATAATTTATTTTTTTAAGTTCATGCATTCCCATCTTTCTTCTAGCTTTAGGTATTGTGTGCATGTGTGTGTGCGTGCATACGCGTGCATGTATGTGTGTTGCAGAGGATTTTCTGTTTAATGGTTCTCACAGTTTAATGGCTATAGCAAGCACAATACTTCCCAGAATGCCTGAATTCAGCTGTTTGGATTGGCATTGGCAATGCCATTGCATTGGCAAATCTAAAAGGAAGACAATAGTTTCATGTAGCAGTTGTGCACTGATTGGGTTCTTGTGTCAAAGCTATTTTGACATATGAACAGATGATAAGTCAGTGCTCATTGACTATATCACAATAAAAATGTTTTATACCACAGATGAACTGAAATTTGTGCATTAGATAAATAATGTAGATTGGATTCTTCAATCAATCACACCAAAACTGTCCAATGATCTGCAATCTTATGGATATAACCTATGTTGTAATCATACTGCTTTGGCCATGTAGCTTAGCTTTCAAGTGAAGAAAAGTGAAGTGATTTGTCACATAGGTACTCAGAAAGGGAGTGCATACACAAGCAGGATTAATAGTGATACAATTTCCAAATGTATCCAGCTGACCATGCTCAGAATGCCTTTTCAGACCTTCATACTCAACCAATAGAAGATATTGGGAGGAGAGGAGCCAATGTGTAAGAGAATAAGATGGCCTGAGTTTTATGTGCAAATAATGTTTGGCTCCTCCAATTTTAGTCATTGCATGCACTAGCAAAATTCATAGGGGGAATCTAATCTGTCTTTCATCTACGATGATTTAAAGTTTTCAATATGCCCTAGAAGCAAGACCATTTTTCCTGTTTTAAACAATATATTTTCAAAAATATACTACCCCATCCTTTAGGCCTTGGCATTTATATTGCCAGATTCACATACAGAAAGAGATGTGCTTCCATTGTAATTCTTCTTTATTAGCCTAATAACCAATCTTTGTGTTATGTGCCAGTCATAAAAATCACATTTGTTGTTCATGTTCTGTTGCAAAACTGAAATGGAACAGTATTGTGTATTCTACAGTATATAGTATTGCCTCCATCTTTACTGGCTAGTTGCAAATTTTTCTCTGGCATAGATAATACAACTTCCCCAATACAGACTCTATTGAGTTTGCAGGAGTTTGAGCCCATAGAAATATATCTGATTTGGTATAATACCCACCTAATATTTTGAAAAATCTAAAAAATAGCTTAGATTCTGTTGGAGATAGAAAATTTCACATCCTAGGTCCACATGCAGCTCAGTATTTGAGGAGGAGTAATAGCTGTGCACTCTTCCAAAACTCAAACTAAGCTCCTTCAAGAACAGTAGATGTGTGCATACTATGAAAAGACATTAGGGAGTGATAAATTATTGGACATGTTATAGCAATTAGTACTAAACTTCTCTTATTGAGAGCATTATGCTGGCAAATGTATGCTCAGCCACTTCCAGAAAAGATTGGCTTTGCTGCACAAATACTTTTTAATTAGCTTAGCAGAAACGGGAACTCGATTTTCCTTCCCTAGTATGATTAAATTCTGTTTTGGATTAAAATAACTCTCTACTATCTTAATCCATACAACTCCAGAAAACAAATTGCACAATGTGTTGGAAAGACTAATAGCAATGGGAAAGACTGTCTTTATGTTGAATCGGCACAGATAAATAGATAACGTTTCTATTTTAGGCTATATGTTTTGTTATAAGAAATGGGTCCTGACATTCATAAAGCTACTGCCCTACATGGGACAGTCCTTAGTATGTCAAAGAAATGTATTTTCCCCTTCTTCTGTGGATACTATTAAAGGTCACTATAAAGTTGCACACAGAGGTTCCTGTTTCATAGGTATGTACCTATCAGGTAGATTTTAAAAAGTGTTCATTAAAAGGACTCTGTGAAAGATGGAAAGCTCAATGTCCACACTGTCCATTCAGATGTAGATTTCAAGTTGCAGTTAGAAGTAAAAAAAAAAAAAGACTGTACTTCCATCTGTAATGTGCTAAAGGAAACACATACAAGTATGGCTCAAAAGTGGATCCCAAGGCAGCTGAAATCTGGCGAGGGAAAATTTTAGCTTAAGAATGATCTCTCTCTTCCCAGTTACTTTGGAAACCCAATTCAGTCAACAGGTAACATTGCCACTAAAGCCAGGGCTTTTTGTTGAGAGTCTGTACATTTTGGCTCCTGTCCTTTACTGTTCCTTTCAGCTTGCCAGTTATATATTTTAGTCCTATGGGCTATGCAGTCCAGAAATAAATATTTTTTTTAAAAAATATCAAGAAGAAAGGTCCTTTTAATGAAGAAAAACCAAACAAAAAGTGAAGGGTCTGGGAAGCAAAACCCTATGTACTCTAGGGTTCAAGTTAATACTGTATTAGCCCAGAACTAAAAGACAGATGTTTGACAGCTTGAAATAACATATTTGTTTCTTTCAGATAAAAAAAAATGACTTCTAGTAAAACCATATAAAATACAATGTTTATTTTATTTTTATAACATTTTTGTTTCCTCATTTTCAAAGTCTCTTTCATGTTTGCACTGACCTTGTGATGGCTACACTGCAAGACAAACTTCTTCCCCACTGGAGAAGAGAGAGGTATGGCATAATTTTCTAAAACAACAGGGCGAGCAAAACATTCTGTCCTGTCCCAGGATACAAAATATAACAGGACTGGATTTAGCAGCTGACTATTTCTGCTGCTTTGGCAAAGTTCAAATTGGGACCCATGTAGTGGCATCATCAACCGAGACCACAATTGGGTGGACTACTGGTTTTCCTGAAATTACTCAGAGTCTAAAGACTTCATTTCATGGTGGCAGGATATAGTCATCTTTCAGTGGATATAAACCAAGCTGGAAACCTATCACTTAATTGAACCACCCAACTTGTGAGAACAGAAGCAAAGAAACAGTAGCTGGTGAAGAAATGTCAGCTGTGCATGCTACTGCCATGCTACAGTCTTCTTGCCCTCCTTCTTTATTTTCTTTTCAGAAATTGTTTATCTTATTTGTCTATTTCTTCTTTGTTGTCTGTTCCACCTGAGATGTATCTTCTTAGACTTATCATAACTAAATCTTTGCTACACAGACACAAATTTGGTCTGCACAATGATATTTTGTATTGGCTTTCATTCTTCTCTTATGTATTTTGTGGCTGACAAAACTTTTGCCCATATGAGAGAGTAGGACTTTTTGAAGGGAATGTTTGATTGATGAATGGCCCAGACTAACTCCATCTCTTTTTTCCTTCCAAGATAAAGATATTCCTACCAAGAACTGCATGTAGGTACAGGAATATATGAAGAATTAAAACTGACTGATCATACTACCACATAATACTGTACTTCCTTTTAAAGGAGTGGAAAATGCTAATAATTTTAGCCACCATTAAACTGGCTCAGGAAGAACTTTCAATAAGAAAGATAGGATGAGATGGCTTAAAGTGATCAAAGGCCAGACCCATAGAAACTGAGGCCAATTAGGGTTGCCAGGCTGTCACATTAATAGTTCAACCTATATAGAAAGACCCCTGAACTGTAAGCTTGAAGGTAAGAATTATCTTGTTTTTACTTTTCTGTATGCTGCGTACTTCTCAGACTAAAAAAAGAATGTACATGATGTACATGATGATGCAAATCAATCTGTAATAAGTCAAATCTGGATTAGAGCCACACATCAAACGACACACAGCAAGAATAGCAGGTCAGAGAACAGACAGCTAATTCTGCTTATGTGTACTTGTTATGAGATGTGATGGTGCTGTTCAAAGGAATCATGTTACACTGAGAAACAATTGGGGGGGTCTTCAAAATGGGGCTGAAATTAAGTTCCAAGAACAGAACATTCACAAGTTACGAACAAACTCCTCCCCTCTGTTCTAATAAATAAAGCAATTAAAATCATAACTGGCCATCATAAAATCTAATAACCAAATAATAATAGGATTTCTGTCTTTTTTAACATCACATTTTCTCTTTTATGCTAGCATAAAGGAGAAAAAAGGAACAGTATACTTATGTTGTTTAACAGTCTTTATTACTTTAGCAAAGAAGGAAAAAATGCCATTCTCACACCTTATTTGCATTATGACATATTCTTCAAACATTTTCATGCTGTTGTAACTTTTCTTTATCGGTTTCTTCCTCACCCTCGGGACTTATGGGCATAGTGCCAACTTCTAGTCAGGAGCAAATAATAGTCTATTCTCTAGTTAAGTTAAAAGCTGCCTTTGGGAACATGAAATACAGCAGTTCAGAAGGAAGTGTCCTGTTTGGATTGGGGTAATATGCTAGGAAGTTGGCATATGTTCCTGCTTTTGTTGGAACAAGAACAATACAGATCACACCAACAATTTATATATCTTTTTCTTTGCTTTTAATCCTTTATTTACTCATCAGAACCAGCCTACAACAGGTTCACTTGGATAGTTTGATTACATTAGCCAGTAGGATCATCATCACCCTCCCTGAGGAGTGGGGAAGATTTAGATAAGGAAATGAAAGCATAACATATTCAATCATAAAAGTACAATTCCTTAGGTTGTTGAAATATGACAGCAGACCCCTTTTTAAAAACCCAGAGTATTAACTGAACTGTATCACACTTGTGTGTTTGTTGAAATCAGCGTTTCAGATCAATAATCTATGGCAGAAGTTCTGAAACTCTGCAATATTGTGATTGCCCTCAAAATGAATAAAACTAGATTTCATTGGAGTTAGGGTTGGGCAAGAAATAAATGTACAACTTATTTTTAACAATTACATACTGATCTGTATATCAGGTAAAACAATGGCAGAACCATACACTTTTAAAAACAAAAATGTTTCATTGGAAATAAGTATCTTACTTCCTAAAAGTGCCATAGCAAGTGGATGCCTTGCTGGCTTTGCTGGCTGGGAGCAATCACCACTGAATGCTGGATAAGAGTTGGCCTAATCTCTCCAGAACAAAGGAGAGATCATTGAGATCATCCATGTGACTCCGGACAGCCACTCCTTATGAGCAGACCACGAAAACTGTTTTCATAGTCAGCTTATAATTGAAGTGGTTGTGAGTTGGGATTTATATCAAGCTCAAACTTGCAAAACTATCTTTATGGAGATTATGCTTGAGTAAGTCTTATATCTTAATCACTTTTTATTTATTTTTAAAAAACGTACGGTATATTGGAGAGATTAAGACCCTTCAGACTGTGAAGGTGTTACTATATTCATCAGGTGAGTTCACTTCTCCTTCAAAGATAATGATGTAAATTTGATATTGAAAGTTTTAAGAATATATTATTATTATTATTGAGTATGTAGCAAAAATTAATAGTGGATTAAAGGGCCAGAGGGATTTGGAATTACAGCTTTAAAATATTTAGGAGACACTTTTTCAGGGCAAATTTTGGAGGTCCCCCAATTCCAATTTGGAGGTCTCCCAATTCAGTACAAGGCTGAGTCCAAAATATGACCAGATCACTCTCAGTGACTAAGAATGAACGAGATTTAGAAACAGACAAGGATAACAGGAAAATGTCTTGAAAGGGGTTGTTTGTAGAACTGAAAGTCCAGTTTTATTCATTCTACTGCCTGGTTAAAACAACTATTCCCATGAAGTACTGATTGAAAAAAATAAATAAAAGTATTTCTTACCTTATCCCTTGCATCATTCAGAAGGTCTTCCAGCTCAGAAAAACTAAAACTGGCTACTGTGATAAAGTGGCTCATGACCGGGACGAACTTATCACCTGGTTCTCGCATACGTCTCTTCTGATAATCTAGCTCCTAAGGAAAGAAAAAAATTGGAACAGGTAATGGGTAGCTAGCAAGATAGATAACAATATAAAAAAGATAACACTTAAACTTTGGAAGAAACACTGAAAAATGGCAACTGAACTCATTTAAAAATAATTCCCATATCCAAATCATCAGCTTGGTTTAACTAGAATTATTGAAAACCACCATTGGTTAAGTTCACACATCACAACAAACCAGAAGTGGATGACCACTTTCTTTTGCCTCAAAAGCTGCAGGAGGTATGTCCTGAGACACAGTGATGTTATCTTGCCTTCTGGTACTTTTGAAAATAAGATGACCCCCTCCTCTTTGTGGCAGCCCCTCAAATACTGGGATATTGCTATCATGTCACCCCTAACTTTCTCTTCTCTAGACTAGCCATACCAAACTCCTGCAACTGTTCTTCATATGTTTTTTGTCTCCAGGTCTTTAATCATCTTAGCTTGCTACCATGCAATATCGCTTTACTTTTCTTTCCAGTTTTAACAACATGAAAGATCCCATCCTATTATGATTCAGGTTGTCTGAACATTTCTAAAAAAAAAAGAAAAGAAAAAAAAAACCTTGCAAATATTCTGAATGACCTCAGGAGGTCAGTCAAGGACAATTTCAAACATAGTTGTTATCCCCTTCTTTGCAAGACTGTTACTTCCTCACAAAGTTTACCACTTAAATTTACTCACTTAAATTCTAACTTCTGCATAGCCTTCACTTACAGAACAGAACATTGTTGGGATGATGATTACCACCATCATCCCAACAAATTAGAATAATCATTCATTAGATTTTGAGATTACGTTTGCTGCTCTTGTCACATTTTTTTCCCTCAAAATGAAGGTTTTGAGAAAATCTTTTTGCCAGAGGACTCCACTAGAAGTCTGGAAATTGATCTCATGATTCAAATTTGATACAATAGTAGTTTAGGAGTGCAGATTAAGGAGAACTGGATTGAATCTCCCTTGATCTCATCCATCCCACACAATTTTATTTCCTGCACAAGTTTTTAAGGTGATCTCTTTGTGTATTGATCCTGGAGAAAAAATGGATTTATAAGCAAGCATTAAGAATTTGATTTCATGAAAAAGAAGGTGAAGTATCTGATTATATTTAAGGCAGGAAATCCAGAAAATTGTAGAATTAGAGTAAGCTGCCTAAACTTGGTTTATCTAACTCATTATTGCCTACTTTGACTAACAATAAGTATCTGGGTATTAAGATACATGCCTATGCCACTTCTAACAAATCCCTGAGGCTTGACTTTGGATCCATTAGCACATCTTTATCCAAGCAACAGGACTTCGTTCCCCAATGCTACAACAGTATTTTGTTTGGCAATTATTAGGCATTGCTTCTTTTTATCTACTCCTCTGTTCTTTTCCTCTAAGCTGAGGTAGCAAATATTGATGGCTTTCTTACAATCATGGTTTATTTATTGCTTTCAGGGCATTGGAGGGCATTGTTTAGAACACTGTTTATTTTATCCTTTGCCTTGAGGAAAAGCTTAGAAACCAACACTGCATTGTTATAGACAGCATCCAACTTAAGACGTGTGTTTAAAAATCCTGCTTTCTACTGTTTTGTCGAACTGTTTTACAGTGAAGTCAATCCCATAAAAGTTACAAATGCCATTGGCAGGAGAGCTGATGCCTTGGCAGCAATCCTCATAAAGAGAAGAGAGGGTTTACAGCTTTCCATTTTGATTTACTTTGCTTTGCTGGCTGTAGTCTGTGAAGTTTCTCAAAGCTAGGCTCACATCTCATTTTTAAATGGTGCTGCCAGCCCTGGGAAGCGAGGGATTACAAAGTGCCTCTGTGAGCAGCTGACTGTAAACCTATTTTTAGTCTGATGTTTGTAAGAAGGGGCCTTGAAGAACCCTCTCCACTGTCAGTGCTAGGACTGTGGTGAGAACATGTTGGAATGCAGTCAACAGTTGCGCCTTTTTTTTTCTCTTCGCTTTCCCTGTCGTCTCCTCCCAACAACGGCCTTCTATTGTTGTTACAGTGCTATTTTTTACATACCTCCAAAAGAGTGAAATGAATGAGCTATACAGGGAGATGTTGGCTGCCAAGTTTTATAATAATCATAAAGTGATATGGGAGGGAAAGGAACTGGTGCATGAATGGGATAAAATGCTTGGCCAAGAAGAAGGGGAAGGTACCGCAAGGACACTGGCTAGGTTGAGAGTAAGTGGCATGCCATTCAAGAATTGCATCTTGCAATCTCACGCTTTTATTTAAAAGAGTTGCTGGGACACAAAGTTCTTTCTGCCTGTTCTGGAAGATGGGCCTACAAAAGAGAATTTGTCAAGCAGTACACTTAATGTTTGAGAACTACCTTCTCAGGATTAGCAAACAAACTGACCACCTGTTTGCCATTGCTTGACTTCCTATAATATTTGGCTTTAAAATGCATATTAAAAATACACATTGAGAAGAACTTAATGAATTGGAGGTAGGTTTTAATATCTTCTAGAATGACATTTCCCCCCATATTGAAAGGAAAGATGCCTGTATCTCCCATTCAAATACCTTTTCTGAGGGCTTATGAGTCAAGGGTGTGCAGCTTGAAGAGCAACAAGGTATTATTTAAACTTGACCGTGGAATTTGGAATGAATTCCAAAATTTACTCTGAATGTAAGTTAAAAGGAAGTCTGAATGGGTCTAACAGGGACTAAAGATGCTTGGAAATAAATCCCTGATCTGTAGTACTGTAAGGTTTATTATCCTTCAAGAGAAGCAAGGAATTGATGCCACTTCCGTGTACTTCCAGCTCATCATTTTAAACTTTATTATTAGACAAGGAGGTCTTTACCCATTTTTTTTTACAAGTGAGGACTAATCTAAGTGAGAGATGAGTCCTCTCATCTAGCCGAGTCCTCACTTATATAGTAAAAAAACCCCTGCTAAATATCTCTTTGTCTAACAATAAGGATTAAAATGCCATTTGTAGATAAACAGAATAGCAGCAAATTAAAATGATTTAATTCAATCAGTTGAAGTCTCACAGAGGAAGAAAGGAGTGAAAACAAGGAACTGTTATAACTTTCCCGTATAACCATTCTTCCTAAGTAACCTCACAGGGGAGCATAATATTTATAGCTCTTAAGAAAAAAGTGCTATCCTGTACTTTGAATATATCCTGTCTACTAATACAGACCACCACCAAAGGCTACTTCACCCATTATATGGTGACTGGGTATATGTTACAGTCCTGTGTTAGAATCATTCCTTACAAATGAAATATGAACATGGAGTAAAGCTTGGCATTAACATTTCATTGTTCTGTCTCCAGAGGACTGCACCAACTCTCTTAAGGAAATTACTGGGAAAAAAAGTGTTTGCAGTCAAGTAATTCAGCAAGAGAAAATAAATAAAATGATAAGTCTCTAAAATGCTCTCAACTTGCTGCAAATATTTAATCTTAAGAGGATGTTTGGTATTGCAAACTAATCTAGCAGTCTCAAGTCACAGGCAAGAACCATGACTAAAGGAAGGCCACACAGAAGGCCCAAGACAGATAAAATGAGAAAGAAGATGTTATTGGCTGTAGCTCCTACCCCCAGTTCATGCATTTGCAATACCCTAAAGAATCCTTTATGACTAAGTCTTTCTGTTTGCAAAAGCTGGCTGGCTCCATTCCTTATGAGTTCAGTGTGATCCCACAGAAAGTATCCCAGAGCCTGTGCAACTAATTCAGAAAATAGAAAGACTATTCAAAGACTGAGATACTCCCTAAAATACAAGGTTGCAATATCCCAAACCTTTATTTTAAAAACAAGTTACAATGGATTTTCCCCCCTACACAATTGGTATGCAAGAACTATAGAAAATCCAGAAATGGCATGAAATGCCATGGTTCATTCATAAGGTAGCATTTGCCTGCAGAAAGAGAGACAAAAGAGTCCTGCCTGACAATCTGAATAAATGCCAGCCATATCTGGACTGATCTTAGAGAGCTCCCTACAATCTATGCAACTATATCACATACAAGGTTCTGTTAAGACATTAAAAGGGCAAAATGCATTCTACTGGGAAAAAAGAATCATGTTTAAAGACTTTGAATAGGAAGCAGTTGTGTTTACTTCTTATTGTAACAACTAGTTTAAAACTATATGATAGCCTTCCCCCATTGGGGGCCCCTCTAGGTGTGTTGGACTTCAGCCCTTCCAGTAACTCAATAATTCTGTGGAATAAAAGATTGATACATATGAAGAGCACTGGGTTGGGTAAGGCTGTACAGCAAGGTGGCTATCTCCTTTCAGACTTGCTCTGCCTGCTCTCTCCCTACTTGGCAATCATTCTGGCAGGTAATAAATGCCTTAATGCTTAGGCTACACCCTGCCTGTGTAAACCTGTCCAAAGAGACCACATCTAACACCTGCTCAAAGACTAAAAGTCTCTGAAAGAAGAAAAAAGTGTTCAACATTTGAATTAGCACAGTTTATCAAATTGCCGTTCCCTTGCTCACAGCCCAGATCAAACAAACTTCCCTGCACATCTGTTAATATCATCACATCAGCTTTTGCAAGAGATATAGAGGTGAGGGGTAGGGAATGGTCTCAGAGAAACAGGCTTTAGCTTGACAAGAAAGAAAAGCTCCTTCTTCTCCCAACAAAACACCCTGGTGGGTGTTTTTAAAGTAGTGTGTTTAGAAACTATGACATACTTACAGCTTCAACAGCTTTCAACCCAGTCTTTATATTATTAACTTCTTTCTCCAATTCCACTAGGCTGCAAGGAGATAGAGAGTGGTTTAAAACAAAAGTGCAATGTTATAAGGATGGTAGAGGAACTGCTGAAGTAAAGACAACCATCTGTCTTATTTTCCTCCCAGCACCAGCCCCCCAGCAGATACTAGCAGAACAGAGAGACATGTCCATTCTGCTGTTCACTGGCTTTTAAGAGAACACTTAGATTCTTCAAAAATATGAGATTTGGCTTCAGATAGCTGCACATAGGAGGCAGGCTACCAGAGCTATGACAACTAAGCCTTTTCATCTGACCAGCTTAAATGAAACACAACAGTCCTTGTTTGCTGTTATTTGGTGTTCTTGTATTTATTTAGTTGATTCCATGTTGATTAATTTCTAAAAATAAAAATAACCATATTGCCAGTCCCTCTAAGCACCTATTGTGGGAAGGCGTGATAGAAATGTTATTCATTAATTGTTAATTGCTTAAAAGACAAAAGAAGGTAGCTCCAGGAGATCCATCTGACTGGGATCATAAATACTCCTTATACCAACAATTAACTATTTCTTGGGGCTGTGTGTGCTCTCAAATTGATTTGGAAATGATGTTTCCAAATGCAAAGGATAGGAACAGCATTTATTTAAAACAGCTGTAACCCTTTTAGCCTTCTGTGCAAGTATAAAAAGATACAGTTGCTTTAATAGACATCTCATTAAAGTTGCTGCCTGCTTATTTAGTTTTTTTAAAGCATGCTGTCAGAGATAGTAACATTCAACCATGTCTGGATTGAGACCAGAAAGCATGGACATACTGCAAATGCTTTCATCAGCTTTGCAGTTTCTCCGCTGTTCCTAGATGCTGCTTCAAGTATTTTTTTTTAATCTTTAATTTCTTCCAATTATGTTAAAATCAACATAATTATGTGTCCCATTTAAGATACATAACTGATCAAAATAGGCTAAATTGGTTAAACTTTGGGGGCAGATTTCAGTGTGGCAAACGTTTGTTCTGGGGAATGAACTGAAGTTACACTGAATCTCAGAATGGAAGCCTTGGAGAGAAAATTCCTGACAGAATGATCGATCACTCAAAAGACAAGTCTTCAGAAGTTGTGGGTGCTCCAACACTGGATGTTTTTAAGAAGAGATTGAACAACCACTTGTCTGAAATGAAATTGTATTGGGTCTCCTGGACTTAATACTGGCTATTCTTTGGTATCCCCACCTCCACCCCAGATTTGCTATAGGAATTGTGGCAGAAATGTTTAGATCTTAATGTATTGGATCTTAATGTATTTTTGTGATAGGCGAAAACCTTTTGATATTTTTCCTGATTTAATTATACTTTATCTAGGTTATGTTATGTTGCTTCTTTGTGCTTGTTAACTTAATACATTTTGTTCATTAATTTTTTTCTAGAAGTAGAAGGGTTACATATTAGCATATAAAATGAAATTAATGCTTGGAATACGAACACTATATATCGGATACCAATTCATGCATGAGCTAAAACCAGAACTGTGTATGAAATAAGCACAATTCAAAACATCAACATGCTCCAAAGTAAGGCAATAAAGAACTGGTACAGTTATCTTGATGTCCTTTAGTCCTTCTGAAATCACTAGGATTTATTGACCTTCATATATCTAACATTTACTTTCAGATACAATAGCAGAGAATCACACTATGAATCAAACAACATCTTTAAATTAGTGAAAAGGAATAACTGGAACAGGAACTTACAGAATTTAAGGTATCTTTTACTGATGTAACTGATTGCTATTGTTAATTTTATAAAAAAAAAATAATCCTGACTTTCAGTTTCATCAATGGTCATATTTTGTTTTCTGTTTTTCTACCAAATCCAAGTGATCAAAAGCTATTAAAGTTATTGTGGGAATGCTCTGATATTATCATAAGGCTTTGGTTCTTCTTTGATTCATAATTCTGCAATATTTTAAGCACTAAAGACTACACAACATATTTAAAAGATACTGAGATGGATGTACAATTTTAATATTATTCACCTGACAAATGTTCACTTTGGGATATTCTCACATTTTAAAAAGCATGCTCTCTTTATTTATAATTCATGGACTACTAAGAATATTAATACTTATTACATATTTAATTATTCAATATTAATCTATAAATTAATGTATTGCAATGCAATTGTTATGGCCCATCTCATCTTGGGCACTTTCGTTAGATCATTTCCTGTTTAGAATTACATATTCTGAAATAGAATATTTATTCTCAGCAATACTCAAGAATATTATTCATTATTAACTAAGTGAATTATAAATGTATTCATTGATTAAAAGTCAAAGACTCTTGAGGTCAAGCACTTTAATCTGAAAATGATTTTCTAAAGTTAATTATATTTTTGACTGATAATTATGATATTTTCTTCTGTTTGTCTCATTTACACAGAATGCTGATCTATAGACCATAAACATATCTCATCATAATCACTCATTATTACTTTAGCAGCAGCACCACTTTATTTATTTCTAAAGTATCAGTTTAATATCTGATATGTTCTCATTATACATCGCCTAGAGTTGCTCTGTGAGTGAGATTGATGGTCAAAAGTAGGGTCTACCCATCTCACAGAATAATTCTGGATAGGCTGCAATGAGAACATATCAGATATTAAACTGGTAAAAACAGATAATACAGTTGATCTTAGCCAAATGGCAAGAAATGATACTTACTTGACTTTTGCTGCTTCCGGAAGATTTTGCAGTTCAGACTGTATGTCAAGCACATTTAGGTAATTCTTTTCAAAGATCATTATCAAGTAATGTAATAATGTAATATTCCTAAGAGAAATAGGAATGAAAGAGACAGGAAACAAGATCATAAGGGTAATTACCATGCTGTATCTGAAAAGCTTAAAATGAAATCAAACTCTGAGTCTAACATCCACATTTTTAAAATAAAATTGCTGTAATAGCTATTTCCCCAGGCTTTTGGGTCAGACTGAGTAGAGTCTTCAATCTGAGGAGCAACTCTGATTGCCATTTTATTGTTTTACTAGGGTTTAATGGTAAATATTGTTTCTTACTTGGTTTGATTTTTCTTCCCTTTTTGGACACCACCCGAGTCATTTTATTTGACCAAGCAGCCATGTAAATGCTTTTATTAATTTAATATTTCACATGTTTTGTGCTAAAGTAAGAGTGAGGAAAGTTTTGTCTTCAGATGTGATGTGTATGATGACTGCCAGCACTCTTGACATTCTGGGAGCTGCATTTCAACAACATCTGGTGTACTAGATGTTCCCACCTCTGCCCTGAAGGCTCAAATGATTATTTGCAAATGACTCAACAACAGAAGAAACACTGTACAAAGTACAAAGGTCTCCCAGCAAAACACCCCAAGCCTCCAAGAAGACTATTCAATGGCTATATTGTTTTATTTGTGCGTGTAATTTCCAAATGAAGAGTCTTGCCTTTGCTCAGATCCCTGAGATAGTTTTCATTTGGGGATGCAAGTACCTATCTTCTGAACCCCATTCCCCGGCTGTGAAAGTGGAACAATTTGGAAGAGCAGGAAAGAGGTGCTGACAATTTGGCTTAGAAAAAATAACATTCCTAATAGCTTTCAAGAGAACCTGACTTCCCTTCTTCTTTTAAAATAACATTTTTATGCTGAAAAAAACCCCAACAAGTTCACTCCCAGTGATATGGAAGGATGATACATACATTTATGGATGCTTTCAAAATGAAAAACAAAACATTTCTTTCTAATCATCAAGTGTCATTGGATAGAAGCACTGTGGAGTAAAACAGCTACAGAGATCATGAACCATCACTAGTTTCTTGTAGCAGCAAAGACAATTCCAAAAGAAAGTGCTGGCTATTTATACAAAGAGAAATACTCTGCCTCTTAGATTTGAAATAGTTTACTATCCCCTGAAAATGGGCTTTTTTGTAAATTCTCATGAGTGTACTAAAAAATTTCAGCTCAGAATTGCACACATATCATTAATAATTTTAACCTTGCAGAGATTTTTTTCAGTTTTAAAAACATTGCTGTCTTTTAGTTCTACCTAGAGTAACTGTCATTATATTTCAAGACTAGCAGAAATATCCTTTTGATACAAAGCTATTTTCTCTGTTTCAAACTTGCACCAAAATTAATTATATGGACTGTAACCACTTTTAATGTAAAATCTTTTCAGATGTGGATGCTTATATATGATGTATAAAATTAATAGACTGAATTTTAATTGTTTTTTTATATTAAAAAAACTCCCTTAAAACTTTTTTTTTTTTTACTTAAGTACAGTATTGAAGATTTATCCTCAGTAAGTGAACCTACTTATCTATGCTAGATTTGGTGTCTGCAATCTTATTCAGGCTGGAAACCTTAAAGCCGTATGCATTCCCTCTTTGTCCCTTGTTCATGTAATTGCCAAAGGCCAACACAACCTCTAAGAGCTGCTTCAGGTGCTTGCTGCGGATCAGCTCTCTGGAAGCCAGGAGAATAGCTGAAAGAAACAAGAAGTGACCTTAGAGTGACGTACTGGAATGATGATAGTTGAAAGGGAGAACGTAGGGGAAGGACCCCCTAACAATGCATACTACATTTTTCTAAAGCCAAAACTCCTCTCTCACTTTTCAACACAGGAAGTGCAATACTGAGTGTGGAAATTGTCCACTGAATGTGTGTGTTTGGGTGGTTCTAATTCTGCAGAAAAAGCTTTTGGGAGACACAGGTATTTCACTAAAGAGATTTTGCAGTACAAATCAGGATGCATACAGCAAAAGTGGGGAACCTGCACTCCCTGCCTGCTCCATTCTCAACCCTCTCATTGCTACTAGAAAATGAGATTGTCAAGGAAGGAAGGATTGTGACAAGCTTTCTTCTATAATAATCTTGTTGCACTCCCCAGGACCGTTAAGCTCCAACTAACCCATTAAGAAACTAGGATCCTGCCAAAGAGCTAGAAAATCCAGGCTGTTCAATTCATAACACAAACTGTAGTGGCACTGATTTTCTTCTCCTTAAGCTTGCACAGAATGCTTCAGCACGCAGCATTCCTTGGGCAGGATGACACCTCTGACACCTGAAATATGCTACTGTTTGTAAAGAAAATAACTTACCTTCCACTTTTGGCTTAGCTTCAGCAAGCCTCTCTGGAAACTTCTTCTTAAAGAATAATGCCTGAAGTCTTTGTTGGTAGTGGTCAATCCTAGAAAGAAAGGAGTCAGAGATCTGAGCTGCATTTCAATAAGTCTTTCAATCAAACAGAATACCTGTAAGACCAATCCATTTTTATTCAATGTCTCTTTTCTTACTAGAACAACAGAAATCCCTGAATATGAAAAAAAAAAATGCTATCAGCTGCTCTGCCTGGAGATAATGTCTTGCAGCCAAGGATCAATCATGCATTTGTATTTCCCTAAAAAAGAAAATATATTGAGGAAAAAAGGAAAAAGAGGAGGAAGAAGTTTCTAGTTCAATGAAAGAAATATTTTCCCAGTATATTTCCAGTATATTTGAAATATTGTACTGTATCCGCCATTCCCATCTGGGTATTCTCAACTTATTAGATTTAACTTCCATAATTGTGAGTTGGCAAGGTCATATTGTCTAGGAATTATGAGGGCTATATTCTTCTGTAAAAAAGTAAAGGAGTCCTTGCGGATTTTGTTCCGCTTGGCGTTGCTGGTGGTGCTCATCTCCATTTCAACGCCACTGAGCCAGCGCCATCCAAAGACCTTTCCATTGTCATGTGGCTAGCATGACATCATGGAGCTCTGTTACTATTTATCTACTTGCGTTTGCATGCTTTTGAACTGCTAGGTGGGCAGGAGCTGGGGTGAGGACAGGAGCTCACCCTGTTGTATGGCACTCAGATCTTGAACCTGAGCTGCTGACAAACCCAGCATCTTAATCACTTAGTCAGCACCCCCATGTTCTTCTATAGAAAAAGTTAATTTACATTATTATATTCCCTCTCTTTCTGTCTTTTTTTTTATTCTCCATCACATGCAAACAGACCTAAGTATACACTTATATGCACCTGCTCATTTCATAGAGGAAACGATCTGCTCTTGCCATGCGATCAATTTCATGCTTATGTTCTTCCAACAGGTCAATATCACTCTTCTCTGGAACAAACTTCAGTAGCTGGAACACCAAAAGTGTTTTTTTTAAAACAACAACAACAACAACAACAACAACAACAATACAGACAAAATGAAACAACCAGACAGGGAGATTGACAGCATAAAAATGAACAAAAAAAATGGTATTGAAAATGCTGGCCTACATCCTGCTATAATAGTATTTTTGAACCAATGCATCTGAAGTAATGAAAGTGATCTTCCTGAGACATTTGCTTGATTCTTTATCTTCCTACTGTGACTTTGTTACATACTTCACATTTCCATGTAGGATATCTCACTTCCAGCTACTATTTGCTGGGTATCTTGTTGATATTTAATAAAGAACTTCTTTGACATATAAGGCCTTTCAGAATGTAGCACTGTAAATAAAGCACTAAAAGTGTTCTTCCCATTCTTCCTCCAATACAAAGTTCTATCTATTCTCCCCTTCATCCCCTCTAGCACATTACTAAAATGGCTGCTCAGAAAGATAATGAACAATGTCGATATGACTAGATTTATAGGGTGCTCATTCAAAGTTTGAACTCAAAATACAGCTCATTCAGCAACAGATTTTTTTTTAATCTATCTGCTGTGATTAAGGCTTGGTTTCACACATCCAATTGCCACTTCCAAAATATGCTGGAAGATCAGCCTAGTTTATATGCATGTTTACCAATTCATTAATTATCCCAAGGAGTAGTTTAACTGTTACCGGGCCACAGATGAGCTATTGACAATGTAAGAAATCTATTGCAAAAGTGAAAAAATGTGTACAGGTAAAATCAGTTTGAGATTCAGACAGCACAGACTCATCCCCAATAGCATGTGCCTGTCTTCAACAGTGAAGGGACACAGGGCAGAAAACATCCTGCAGCCAAGAAGGTTCCACACACATTTGCATCTCACAGGTAACCCTGAGGACACAGGTAAACCTCCAAAATGGTTTCAACGACTCTCTAAAAAGAATGCAAATGACCAGCTGTCTGCAAGGAATATAAATCCTTCCATTCGCCACCATCCAGCCAGAGCTGAAGAAGCTTCTTGGATGAGAAGCAAAATGTCTTCAAAAGAAACACAAGAAAGTCCAGTTGCCTCCTGAAAAAAAAGCACCTTTGGGATAAACCATGACCTGGATGACTGAGAATCTCCATAGACAGGTAAAATAAAGGTTAATTATACAGGTGTCCTCGACTTACAACCAAAATTGAGCCCAACATTTCTGTTGTCAAGTGAGACATTTGTTAAATACATTTTGCCCCATTTTACGACTTTTCTTGCCACAGTTGTTAAGTGAATCACCGCAGTTAATAAGTTAGCAAACTGGTTGTTCGATGAATCTGGCTTCTCCATTGACTTTGCTTGTCAGAAGGTTGCAAACAGTGGTCATAAATATGAGTCAGCTGCTAAGTATCTAAATTTTGATCACGTGAGGATGGAGATGCTACAAAGGTCTTCTGGAAAACGGCCATAAGTCACATTTTTCAGTGCCATTGTAACTTTGTTACAATGTTTGTTTGTTTGATTTTTTTCAAACATTCAATAGTACTTGTTCAACAAACGTGTTGTCTGAGTTTTACATTCACTAATACAGATTTAATTCCTAATCCTTTATTCTTTTCTCTAGCAATTGATAAAATAAGTCCCAAGTTTGATAATATTCTGTTTCTTCTTTTTCTTTCAACCTCAAAGTAAGCCTGTCCATCTCCACACATTCTAGTATTTTAATTATTTTTTCATCTGATAGTATTTCTTCATTTTTCCAGTATTGTGCGAATATAATTCTTGATGCTGTTATTACATGTAAAATCAAATATATGCTTTGTTTATCAGTCTTTTCTGGCATTATACCTAATAAAAAAAATTCAGGTTTAAAATCTACATGTTTTCCCAATATCTTTTCTAGCCACGTATTTTTTTTCCAATAACTCTTTACCTTGGCACATGTCCATCAAACATGGTAAGTACCTGACTTGTGTTTACATTTCCAACATCTATCTGGCATGTTTTTAAACATTTTTACTAATCTTGCTAGTGGCAAGTGCCATCTATAAAACATTTTATATAAGTTTCCTTTATAAGAAGTTGACATTGTCAATTTATAATTTCTTTCCCACAAGTTTTGCCATTTTTCTAATTCTATGTTATATCCAAAAAAATTTGCCCATATTATCATTGTTTCTTTAACTTGTTCACTTTCCATTTTTAAGTTCAATAGAAAATTATAAATTTTCTTAATTAATTTCTCATCAGAGGTTAATAATATCTTATCAAACAAGTTTTGTTCCTTATAGAATCCATATAGTTTAACATCTTTATCATAGCTAACTTGCATTTGTAATTATTCCCACCACGATAAATATCCTGATTTTCCATTTCTTGTTTAGATTTTAAGTTCCCTTCAGAATTTAGAATATCTCTGTATGTCCATTTTTTTTCAAAAATTAACTAAATTTGGATGTACAAATGCCCCCATTGTTGAAAGCCATCCTGGAATTTTCAAGTGTATTTTACATTTTATTTTTCCCCATGTTAATGATAATGTGTTTCTTATATAGTGGTTTTGAAAGTACTTATGGATTTTGTTTTTCCCATACCATAAAAAAGTGGTCACAAAATGAAATGTTGTAAGTCCAGGACTACATGTAATTAGCCATCTCTAGCCTTAGATCTTGAGAACAGGAATGTTAAGAGACCAGTATTATTGGAAAATAGCTGAGTTTCTCTTCAGAAAGTATAACAGCTAAAGTTAAACATATCACATGCATTAGCCACCACTGAATCCAAGAATGTCTCTATGGTCCCTAATTATTGCTTTGCTAAAGGTCATTGCAGATCATTTTTAGTATGTCACACTTTACCCCAAAAGAGCTACGTGTACATGTGTGTATACATACATAGGCGAGGCTGTGCAATGTCACAGATTTTAAAAAGATGCTTCAAAGCATGGGGATACGTAGCACCTGTTAGCAACTACTTAAAGTAGCTCAGCTGTTCTTTCCCTCCAATGCTTGCACGTGATCCTGGGAAAAGACAAGTTTAAAGAGCTGCCGACAGGTGCAATGTTCATGCCTTAGCGTGCTCTGAAGCAATTTCTCCCTTTCAAATTCAAAACACCGTTCATTCCTTGTACAAATAATCCTGTCTCATGAATGTAGTCCATGCAAGAAATGAGTAACGCTCTAAGTCACTTTCTTTTGGAATACTTATTGATTGAAAAACATTTATACCCATTCTCTTATTATCTTTGTAATTCCCAAGGCATTCAAGTAAGAATCTAGAAATTATAGTATAAATAGGGATACAAAACAGCATAGAATTTCAAGCTATCAAGATTACAACAGCAAATTAACAGGGAGAGATAAAATCCTTATGAATGCATCTTCCCAGACAAGACATGTGAGGAATGGAAAAGGAATAGGAATAACTAGTGTTGCAAAAGTTAGAAAAAAATGAATTTTAAAATGAACATAGGCTTCCTCTAATGATTTTGCTGTTTTTGTGAAATACCAATACACACTATACTGTTCCTTTTGCCTTCTTTCTTTCTCCCAGATTTTAAAAATCTCTTTCTCCCTGCTATTTTTCATGTTCAGGACCAATAACTCTTCATCTAAAGTACAAGGACATTAGTAACAATCTATTTACACCCTTATTATACTCATCAACTCAACAGCAGTGAGGAGCTTTGGAGGGGAAAAAACCTGAAAGTACGGTAGTGGCCAAAATTGTGGAAAACTTTTGGGAAAAGTGTACAGTAGAAATGCCACCTTTGGTTAAGTTTCCACCAATTTTTCTCCTAATTTCTTTATAACTGTAGCCTTGTTTACTTAATAATACTATTTTACATCGCTTTCTGGGCAACCAGTCAAGTCTTTGCACCATTACTTTAATGTTTTTTCATTTTACAAGCTGACTAAATGAAAGAACACAAAAAAACCAATCAACTTGTTAGTGATCACGTAACACACTGACAAATGTCCTCCTCTCAGCTTCAATACATGACATCAATAACTGAATCCTCCTGTGATCTGATTAGGTCATTGCCAAGAAAAGGTGATACCTGATTAGCTCTCTAAACACTCGTGCTCATTGGCTACAATCAGATGAAGGAAAGCTACCTGAATATCAACCTAAGCAAGTTGTGCTTCCTTTTTCTGGTTATTTGGCTACAACTTTTCATAGAATACAGTACAGATAATTGAACAAATTGTGTTGCATTACATTCTTGATTAAATTATCTTTTCATTGATACATAATTTTATGGTACTAATCCAAAAAAGTGGTGTTATTAGCCATCAAACCTCAAAAATATACTTTTCTAAAAGGTTTCCACAATTTTGGCCACTACTGTAATCTGATCATTGTGCTGGCTTGTTTATACAAATTGCTTGCTGAGATGTAACTTAATGAGAAGAGAAACACACTCTCCTTTTACCACTGATGTCATGTTTAAGTAACTAAGTTTTTTCACCTGTTCCAACATATCTTTCGCCAGATCTTCTTCTTCGTCCATTTTCAAAATTGCCTGCCGAATTTCTTCATTAGATAGCTTCAACCTGTAATAATATCATAACGCTCTAATTACTTTGCTCACATAATTCATTTGGGACAAATGTGAAACTTCAGTAAGGATGTCCCAAAGATGCTTTTCCAAAAGGCAACTGGACTTTGTTTTTTTCCTTGAAAATGTCTTGCTTCTCATCCAAGAAGCTTTTTCAGTTCTAAACAGAAGAAGCTTCTTAGGTGAGAAGAAATGTTTTTAAGGGAAAAAACAAGAAAGCCCAGTTGCCTTTTGGAAAAGCACCTTTGGGTCAACTATGACCTGGATGGTTGAGAATCTCCAGAGACCTCCATTGAGGTTCTATTGTAAAACCTTCCTTTATATCCATAAATATACAAACAAATGAAAGATCACAAAGAAGATTGCTAAAGCCAAATGAATAATAATAATAATAATAATAATAATAATAATAATAATAATAATAAAAGTTGGAAGGGACCTTGGAGTTCATCTAGTCCAACCCCCTGCTCAGGCAGGAAACCCTATACCATTTCAGACAAATGGCTGTCCAGTCTCTTCTTAAAAACTTCCACTGTTGGAGCATTCACCGCTTCTGGAGGCAGGTTGTTCCACTGGTTAATTGTTCTAACTGTCAGGAAGTTTCTCCTTAGTTCTAGGTTGCTTCTCTCCTTGATTGGTTTCCATCCGTTGCTTCTTGTCCTGCCTTCAGGTGCTTTGGAGAATAGCTTGACTCCCTCTTCTTTGTGGCAGCCCCTGAGATATTGGAACACTGCTATCATGTCCCCCTCATCCTTCTCTTCATTAAACTAGACATACCCAATTCCAGCAACCGTTCCTTATATGTTTTAGCCTCCAGTCCCCTAATCATCTTTGTTGCTCTTCTCTGTACTCTTTCTAGAGTCTCAACATTTTTTTTACATCATGGTGACCAAAACTGGATGCAGTATTCCAAGTGTGGCCTTACCAAGGCATTGTAAAGTGGTATTAATACTTCATGTGATCTTGATTCTATACCTCTGTTAATGCAGCCCAGCACTGTGTTGGCCTTTTTGGCAGCTGCAGCACACTGCTGGGCTCATATTTAAATGATTGTCCATTAAGACTCCGAGGTCCCTCTCACAGTTACTACTATTGAGCAAGCAATGGTTACATTCATGGCAACCCATGAGTGGTAACTCAGAATATATTATGTGCTTTGAACAAAACATGTACGTCACAATAACTTTCCACTAATGACTCGTCATGCAGAAAAGCCTTCGGGATTCTCTTCAAGAAACTTTTACATTTTTGCAATTGACCAGGGCAGATAAATATAATTCACAATTATGGAAAATTCCAAAGCTTGATTTTTAGCATACTATAGAAAAAGGCAAGGAGAGCAGAAGGGATGAAATTGTGATCAATAATTGTGAATATTAAAATTTCTATTATATTTTATAGTATTTGACATCACTATTTTGATATTGTTGTTATATTTTTGGATTGTGTATCTGTTTTTTATTGTTAATTCATATTTATTACACCATAAAGTAAATTCACAGCATAAAAAAATTAACTCACATCTGCAAATGACATCATAACACACTATATGACTTAACAAATCAAATCCAAACATGTTACAGTACAAAATAAAGAGACATTACATGTAGTCCCCAACTTACAACTGTAATCGAGCCCAGAATTATGATTGTTAGGCATTATGTGACCAGATCCCATTTTTCAACATTTTTTGTGGTGTTTGTTAAGCAAATGCTATGATTGTTAAGCTAACACTGGGGTCATTAAGCAAATTTATTTATTTTTCTAGTGGCCATTTTTTTGCCAGAAACCAGAAATAAACGACCAAAAAAGTCAAATTGTGGTCACATGACTAAAGGATACTGCAAATGGCCATAAAGGTGAGCTAGCTGCCAACAGCCCAATCACATTACTGTGTGCGTGTGTGTGTATATGTCTGCATACACAGCCCTCATAACTGCAAAACCAGGTTGTAAATAGTTCTGAGAAGGTCTGTCATACCTCTGAATGGTTTAAGTAATCAGTTGTAAAGTTGGGGACTGCCTGTGTAATGAAGAACTGACCAATTAGAATAAGGCTTTTAGTTTTAAAATAACTTTTTTTCTTTAGCTCTCTTTCCTCCAGGTATTCAAAAACAAAATAAGGGATTTGTTTATTTAGCAGTTTAAATCCTGGCAGCTTACTAAATTCAAAGAGCAGAATCAAAATAGGATATACCCATCTGTCTTGCTGAGGGTATATAAGCACTGGATTCTAATTTTAACTGCGTATTAAACATCAGCATTTCAGGAAAGCTTTTCTAATGGCCCATCATTTTCAAATAAACACATAGAATTAATATTTATTGGACAATAGTTCCTCTTTGTGTATGGAAACAGATAACACTCATCCTTCCAACTGGCATTGGCTTTAGCGAAGGAGCCAAAAGCTGAAGAGGCCATGGAGAACGAATTAGCTTTTTCCTTCCCAAGACAAGTTTCCTGTAACTCAGATTTCAGAACCATGAAGCAAGACACACAAAGAAATTTGCACTGTTCCTGGCCAGGAGAGCTGCATCAGAAGCCTCACCAAGTTTTTAATGTCCAAGTACAAGAGTTTGGCAGCTTTTTTATGGTATGACTCTCTTGAAGCATTTAAAAATGCTCAACGGAGATGGTGTTAAATCCAAGAAATGCATATGCAGCTGCCTTTGCCCAGCAACTAATAGGGAAACATCTGGCTCAAGCGGCACATCCCTCTCTCGAAGGGGCCTGCCAGGCCCCATGTTAAGAGACAACTCAATGAGGCTACTGTAAGGCCTATATAAAGCCTGTGGTACATCTGAATGATCACTGCCGATACTGTTAAGCTGCACTTGAGGCTAGCTAGATGAGCAAGCAATTGCTTACAAAACAGTCTCATTACAGTCAGCAAGCCACATGACCACAAATGTGCTATTCACACAGAGTTCAAAAGCAGACAAGCAACTGGGCCAACAGATTGTTAATGAAGTGTTCTCATTGTTGTTGTTGTTTTTCCAATACTTCTGACTAACCATGCAGTGGATCTTAAAATAGCCAACAGTAACATAAAGCAGATGTGCTGAGCTTTAAGCAAAAACAGGTGAACCAATTGAACAGAAACCTAAAGCAGATCCCTAAAATCTTTCCACTCAAGGCAGAAGGAAGATGACTACTTGAACTAGGGGAGTTTTGTTGCAATGCAGACACCACAATAAGATGTGATTATGGCCAGAAGAGACACACTAAATAAGTCATATCTCATTGCTGGATATGTATCATCAGTAATTTTCATACCGGTCTTATAAGAGCCAAACCTAAATTTCTCCCACTGGCATAAAAACTGACAAACCCCAGACTGCATGCATAATTTAACCACTGCCAGGTCTGTTTTATATTTGTTTACAGAAAATCCCCACAAAGACTATAATGGAATGATAACTAAGCTAAGCAATCCCACTGACGTGAAGATAGAGCAGAACCGAGTACAATTGCAATGGACACTTCTGCATGGACACTCTCTGCAAAGACAGCTTTTGGCAAGACACACATGCTCCCCAAGGACAAAGATTAGGAAAAGCAGGGAAGCTTACCTACAGAGATCAGAGGAAATGGCTGCAATCACAGTCCTATCTGGGCATAAGCTTTACTTGTTATCCAAGAGTGCTAGAGTGGGAAGGGGAAAAATCCATTATTACTGCTTTCTACATTCCCTTTCCCCTTTTCCTTCTCAGTACAAAGATGTGTAGGATGATTCTAAGGTTATTTAGCTGAGCAAGAATCTAGGATCTCTCTTTAAACCTTTGTGCTTTCTGAGGAATACAGTATTCAAGAGCACTGGGGCACTCTTTGAATGTAAATGGCACAGAGTACTGTATATGTAACATACAATGTATGGATATGAGAGCTGGACACTTAGAAAGGCTGATAAAAGAAGAATTGACACCTTTGAACTGTGGTGCTGGCGTAAATTATTGCATCTAGCATAGACAGCCATGTCATATGTGCAAATTCATTGGAGAATGCAATGATACTAGGAATGGTTGGTGGATCAAGAAAAAGGCCCAAGCAAAGATGCCATCAAAGCTGATACAAAGATGAATATCCAACAATTGAAAGAAGCTGTGCTGACAGGATAGCCTTGGAGAGAACTTGCCTGTAAAATCACCAAGAGTTGGACCTAACGGAACAGTTAAAAGTACTATTATATGTAACAACTAGTAATAGCATCTGGTTGCATTTTTTCTCCATATTTATTATGTCAAATAGATTATGACCCTATAAGAAAAAGCTGTCTTGTAGTTTCTGTACAGTGTTTAAGAAGAAAACTGGAATGGAAAAGGGGGTGATTGTATAAGTCAGGTTTCCTTAAGGAAACAGCTCAACTACAACACTTTAACACTATAGTCATTTTATAGTGAAGATAATTTATCCCAATCACATGCAGCTTGGCAAGGAAAGTCTGTGTGATGAATACTGTCAAGTTTTCATTTTTTAATAAAGAAAAAATATCTTAGCCAATTGCTGAGATACAATTATTTACACATTTTTTATTTGCATTGAAAAATTTGAAAACATCTCTCTAGTTCTGCATAACCACAGCATATTTTCAAAACACATGTAAATTATAGCACTCTAACTTTCAATTAATACTCAAGAAATACTACATTTCGCTGGATGTGTATCGTATCATATACAATATGATATCCATTTTAGTTTAAAAATTATTACTACTAAGTAAAATTAAGTGCAATTCATCCATAACCATATATTATATTATTGCAGTCTTAAACTATGCTGGAATATGGTTCACAGTAATAAGATATCTCCCGAACCAGTTATGTTAATTTATTTGGTTATATTTCAAGCAGTTGAATTTTTTTGTTTGAACTTTTGTATAAATAAAGATAACACAGTACAGTACAGTTGTTCAGAAGCACACTGGTCAAACAGAAGCACTTTGTAATTATTTAAAGGAGAAAACTCAAGGCAGGAGACTAGCCTTGTGCTATTGTCC